AGAAATTTGTTTTGCATGCACACGTATAAAAATTGCGGTTTTTATCCAACGCAATCATAGGTTTGAACGTTGTTTTCAATTTAGATTTGTATATATATATATATATATATATAAACAAGTCTAAATTGCAACAACGTTCAAACCTATGATTGCGTTGGATAAAAACCGCTATTTTTAAACGTGTGCATGCTAAAACAAATTTCTGATTAGAGGGGTCTAAATACAGCACAAACAACATTTTCCAAAAGACCAAAACAGTGAAAAAGTATATTTTAACAAAACGCATTTGACTAACAGGTCTTACAAAAAATGTTCTTAAATCCTGCTGACTGCCATTGGCGATTGCCAAATAAACGGATCACAAGGTGTAATAAATGGATCTTATTATTGATTTATTACCAAACAGAAAACAATATATATATATATATTGGAAAATAAAATTATTTCTACGCCATAGGAGTCACGGTCATCGAACGTATGCACCACCTGCAGTTCACACCTTGACTCTAGATGGTTTGTTATCCTCTATTCATATATACATTGGGAATTCACTATTGTCGAACGTAACTGTTTTCCACAAATTCATCAAAGCTCAATTCTCCATTTCAAAACATTTCCGTTATTGATACAAATTCTGCTAAGTACAGATTGGCTGTAATAATCATGTACATTGCTAGCCACAGGCTATTCAAACAAGAGACAACTACGTCTAAAGATGATGAAACATGTAGTTTTGTTCATGTAGAATTTGCTTATAAGGATTTGAATGACATACATGTATAAATATTAACAATATTTTCCACGAAAAATCTGTACAGAAAACAATACATGACTACTCCAAAAATAAACTACATCTGTCATTTTATATACCTATGCCAAGCATATTGCTTTCAAGACTTTCAACCACAAGAGGGTATTAGAGACATTTACCCACAAGAATTTAGAATCCGATCGTCCCGATTGCTTTTGTGTATCGTTCCCATTCAAATATAGTCCCTCAGTCATGTTAGAACTGAAAAGGTGGCATCGTAAACAATGCACAACTTTGAGAGTTGTTAGTCAAAGGCCCGACATATCGAATTTCCCAGTCCATCAACTAAAAGAAGAACTTCAGGTTACGGACTGATGTAGTTGTAGACTATGGCAGAACATGGATAAAGTGCGAGCCAGATGAATCAAAACCAAAAACTTTATCTGAATGGATCAAAGCTTTTCGGTCTTTTATTCAGAAGCGCATTACAACTCTACGATGTACAATTATCTCGCAGAATTCTGAACCTTTCGAGAAGCTTGAGGATGAACAGCAAAACAGGGAATCCAACAAGTACCTTTCATCATTTACGAAAGAGGAGATTTAAAAAAAATCACAAATCCGTCCTTCTCTCTTTTGGTATTAATATAAAATGGAGCACAGAAATATCCAATCTTTATATACTGAATTATTGAATTTCACAAAAATTCCAATAAAGAACGATATATAGCGGTGTCAATCAGATGTGGATTCTTAAAAAATATAAAGATCTTCTCCAAAATCTGCAATCACAATCTATAATTTTGTTGTAATATCAAAACCTTTGTTTTTTCTTCGTTTTACACTATTACTTCCCATGCCCAATTGAAAGATCGACCACATCCACTCGTAAAATATTTCCTACAAAAATGAGAAATATAGATACAAATTCCTTGTATTAGGTCATGAAATCTCAAACTTAGGTAAGAACCATACTGATTTGTAAACAAATACACCGAAGACTATATCATCAAAATGATGGACCTTTATTATCAACAACATATTTGTTTAGTTTGATGGTTGATATTTCAACAGACAGCCGATATTCCAATGGGTACTTATTGTGCAACACTACTAGCCGACTGTTTTGGTACTCATATGAAGCTGAATTCACACAGAACATTCTCAAAGACAGAGAGAAAAAGCATCTTGCAAAGTTTTTTAATTTCTCTTTCAGATATACTGATGATGGTCTGTCAATCAATAACCCACACTTAAATAAGTGCTTACATCTTATATATCCTATTGAACTTGCGATTAAGGATACTGCCAAAAGTAAAAAGTCTGCTTCATATCTCGATTTTTTCCTCGATATTGACAGAGATTGACGACTTCAAACTAAAACTATGACAAACGTAATGATTTCAACTTTCCAATGGTCAACTCTCCATTTCTCATTAGTTATATCCCGCTCCTTCATGATGTGACGTTTACATATGCACTTACAGTTAGACGGTTACCTTTTATGGTCCAATATCCAAAATTTGAATACACGATTAGACTCAGCATATCATAGAACCCCAATAATTTAATTTCTGATGAAATCAAAAAAAGTTTAATTTGGTCCCTTTGGACTTCAATGTGGACAAATTTGATAACAGGGCCCTGAAAACCCAAAATCTAAGTACAAGGTTAGATTCAGCAATTTCCAAAATATCATTCCCCATTAATACAGTCTTACAGTTATCCCCAAAAAAATTGCATCAACATAATCGTGGATCAGTTTGTCAGCCACACCATTTAAAAAAACACCAATTATAAGTGTGCTAGTTGATGAATACCACATGTTTTCTTTTCTTAAAAATAGGTGGTAATTGCAGCATGAATGAATTAATAGTAGATACATAACACTTATCCATATTCATAAATGGGAATTAATTACAAACGTAAATATGTAATACAAATTGTGTGTAGTTTTTAAAGGAAGCAAAATAAAAATTTCCATTTTTTTTTTAAATAATAATAATAATAATAATAATAATAATAATAATAATAATACATGTAATTATATTTCTTTATTTAAAGAGGATTACACAGTTAGCTGTAAAACTAATATTCCCTGAGGCCCTCATGAAATACATTGAAATATAACAAACAATTACACATATAAGCTAATGTATAGGGAATTAATACATCACAAACTTTCCTTTATTTATTGGAATATTCAATTTCCATGATAAGTTATAAAAATGTTAAAATAAACAAAACTTCAATTAACTTCATTGTTCCTGTCCTGGAGTGGTAATATCAGAAACTGGACATAATCATTTCTACATATAAACAGACTCAGTTTTTTTGTTTGTTTTAAACATCTGTTTGTTATGAAATATTATCTGTCCCTTTATCAGCATCAGATGACAGATTTACAGCTCTACTTGACCATTCTATAATCTAATAATGAACAGTAAATTTCAAACTATATTTCTTCTCTAAAATTAGATAATCATGTGATGCTATATCTATTTTTAACTATGACTTTACTTATAATGTCTATTGATTGTGCAATACAGCTCTGATTAAATATTTTATATAGCATAGTTTCTAACACAGAATGAATGTGGTCTAAGTGATAAAATACTTTTAAAATTACCAATTACGCTCCAATATTCAAATTCTTAATACATGGTTGGATTCAGCATATCAAATAACCACAATAGTTGATTTTTTGTTAAAATCAAACTAAGTTTTATTTTGGAAACTTTGGACCTTTATGGGGTCCAGTTTTGACCAACTTGAATACTGATTCAAAAATCTAAATTTACGATTAGATTCAGGATATTAAAATACCCCAATAATGCTTTTTTTTAAGTCAAACAAAGTGTAATTTTGGACCCCTTGGACATCAATGTGGACCAATTTGAAGACAGGCCCCAAAATTATAAATCTAAATACACGGTTGGATTCAGCTTATCAAAGAACACCAAGAATTCAATTTTTGATGAAATCAAACAAAGCTTAATTTTGGACCCTTAAGACCTTAATATGGACCAATTCAAAAACAGGGCCATAAATCTAAATTCTTAAGGACCTGTTAGGTTCCGCATATTATAGAACCCCAAGAATTCAAGACTATGAATTAAACCCCATTTAAATAGGTTAATAAATAAGCAATTTATACAAAGTATTACGATAGTATTGTTTTTGGGCCCTTTTTTTCCTATACCGTTAAGGTCATAATCCCCAAAATAAATCCCAACCTTTCTTTTATGGTATAAAACCCTGCGGCACAATTAAGTAGCAATCCATACCCTTGTACTCTAGTCATTGTCCTAAAACCAGAAAATCATAGTTTTTGGCCGCTTTTCGACCCCTCATTCCTAAACGATTTGGGCCATGACCTCCAAAATAAATCCCAATCTTCCTTTTGAGATATGGAACCTTGTGGTAAAATTTTATAGAGATCCGTACAGTTATACACAAGTTATTGTCCTGAAACAAGAAAAAATGCTTGTTTTTGGCCCCTAATAACTAAACAGCTACGACAATAAAACCCAAAATCAATCCTATATGCTTATACTCAAGTTATTGTCTGCGAACCAGTAAAATGCTTGTTTTTGGTCCCTATTTTACCCTTATTTACTATACAGCTACGACAATAACCCCCAAAATCAATTCGAACCTTCTTATTGTGGTATGGAACCTTGTGCTAAAATTTCTGCGAACCATTTTGTCTATGAACGACAAATGTATTCGGACGACGACGCAGACATCGCCATAGCATAATACAAACGCAAATATTTCCGGCCGTATACAAACTGCTTTAACCGAGTTATGTCAAGGAACGACTTAAATAGACACTACAAAAGTTTAGAGTCATCATCATGAATTGGTTGAACTATACGACACCAGTTGTGTCCAATTCCTGATTGTGACATTTTGAATGAATTTGAATTTAAATTTGAATGGCAGATGGCGCACCTAGTCTGGTTCCTTTTGAATGTCATGCGATTCCTTCATTTTGTGTTTGTTACCTAAATTTCCCTCTTCTTGATCGATTTACGAGATTTGAAATTCGGTAAAATACTGTCGCCTTCATTTCACTATTATTGTTTTGTTGTTTTTGTTTGCTATCAAACCTTTTCGTTCCAAGAAGAAAGGATGAACATTAACTAAGAAACGCGTGTCATGCAAATTGATTTAGGAAGACTCATTGACAAGTTTAAGACTCAATGTACTTTGAGGAAAGTCTATCTTATAAAAAGCATTTAACTAGGCTAAATATATTTATTTTTCGAATAAGCAACAAAAAAAACCCAGCATATGTATATTATGATAATACACATTCTAAGACATTAAGAAAACAAAAGTCAATAAAATCTTGTATCACAAATTATAATGCTCGAATAATTTCACATAATGTATGCATAAAATGGATATAAACATAAAAAATCAAATGCTCCACTGGTTGCAGCTTGATACAACCGCAGAGGTCGAACCTTGAACAGTTGGGGCAAGTATGGACACAACATTTAAGTTAAAACAGCTCTAATTTTGATTGTGATTGAATATTTCATACAGCATAGGTTTGTGACACAAAATGAATATGGTCAAAGAACTGAAAAATTTGAAATTGGACATTTACCTTTTATGGTCCAATATCAAAAATCTAAGTACATGGTTAGAATCAGCATATAAAAGAACCTCAAGAATTCAATTTTTGATGAAAAAAAAACCAACATTAGTTTTAGTTAAGACCCTTTGGACCTCAATGAGGACCAATTTGATAACTGAGACCAACATCCAAATTCTAAATACATGGTTTGAACCCTTTATCTCCAACTTGTGTTGAAACTAAACAAAGTTTAATTTTGGACCCTGATTTGGATCAACTTGAAAACTGACCCCAAAAATCCAAATTTAAATACAGGTTTAGATTCAGCATTTCAAAGAACCCCTTATATATTCAATGTATGTTGAAGTCAAACACAATTTAATTTTGGACCCAGATTTGGATCAACTTGAAAACGGGGCCAAAAATCAAAAATCTAAATACATGTTTATTAACAGACTATATAAGCTTAGTTTTTAAAAGAGTTCGCTTCATCAAAATAAAAAAATAAATAAATGGGGAATGTGTCCATGGGACACAGATGATGCCACCGCTTGCATATAACGTTATAAAGGGACATAACTCAAGAACAATGAAAGTGACGCTACCCAAATTTGTACTCTATCAGAGTTTTAAAGTAATAAGCATTGTGGTGTATAAGTTTCATAACATTGTGTTGAGGCAAACTTACGTTAGAGAACGGAAACGAAAAATTCAGCATTTTACCATTTGTAAAGGGGCACAACTCTAGAACGGTAAAAGTGACGCCACCAATATTCACTTGATCTGTGTTTTGTGGTAATCAGCATTGTGCATAAGTTTCATAACGTTTGGTTGAGGCAAACTTAAGTTAGAGAACGGAAACGAAAAATTCAGCAAACTTGATCTGTGTTTTGTGGTATTATAAGCATTGTGTAAAAGTTTCATAATATTTGGTTGAGGCAAACTAAAGTTAGAGAACGGAAACGCTGATTTTTTTCATTTGTAAAGGGGCATAACTCTAGAACGGTAAAAGTGACGCCACCAATATTCAAACTGGATCTGTGTTTTGCAGTAAAAAGCATTGTGTATAAGATTCATAACATTTTGTGGAGGCAAACTAAAGTTAGAGATCGGAAACAAAAAATTCTGCAATTTTTCCAGTTGTAAAGGGGCATAAATCTAGAACGGTGAAAGTGACGCCACCCAAATTCAAATTTGATCTGTGTATTGTGATAATCAGCATTGTGTAAAAGTTTCATAGTATTTTAGACAAACTAAAGTTAGAGAACGAAAACCAATTTTGGACGTACGGACGGACGTGCAGACGGACAAGGGTAAAACTTAATGCCCTCTCCGCTACCGTGGGGGCATTGAAATGTATATAGCATTCAGAAAATTGGTTTATACAAAATAACAAACAAACCTACCACAAAATTATTCAAACAATTTACCAAAGAAAAGAAAAAATTAATTTCCAAAATAATGTTATCATTTATCTTTAATATAATGTCTTTAAAAAATCTATAAAACTTATCTGTAATCATCTTCAAAATGTCTAATAATGAACAGTAAATTTCAAACTAGATCTATTTGTCCCACAGAGCTTATCATCAACAACACCTAAGAAACACAAAATTTTCAAATAAATCTGTCACTCCAATTATAATTGTGTAATTGATTTTACGATCATTTCTTATCATTAATGTAGATTTTCTTTTCAGTCTGGGCATGGTATTTAACAATTATGATACTGGAAAACAAACAACAACAAAAATTAAAGAAGGCAAAGAAATTTTAGATCATATAAAAACACTTAGTGTAATCAAACTTTATATATATAATCAATAGTTCCAATATTTTTTCTTTCATTTGTCCAAAATAATATCTTCAACTTTTCTATCAGTGTAAACAACTTTATCTACACAATGTATTGTAATGAAATATATCCTTTTATAAAAATAGTTTATCTAAAAATAACATTTTTTTTTATTAAGATGTAACATTACATAATGTATGGCACAATTGTATTTAAAAACTTCATTTACTTACACTTTCACTTCAACAGATAGACGAAGGTTTATTTTAATTTCCAAGGGAATATACAACCATAAGAAAGTATTCAAACATGTTAACAATCTTTAAACAGAACACAATGCATACACAATAATCACCACAATTGATATATATCTGAATCAGCAAATCTATTTTAAACTATGACTCAATTTAAAATTTCTATAATAAATCTATAAATGTAGAGCTTGATTAACTATTTAATATCCCAAACCTCCTATTGTGGCATGGAACTTTGTGCTAAAATTTCTTACACATCCATACACTTATAATAAAATTATTGTCTGTGAATCAATTTATTTCCATGAACCAGTGATGTAAACCACAAAAATAGTTCTCTAAATCAGATATGATGTTATATCTATTTTCAACTATGACCCTACTTAAAATTTCTGTTAATTGTGCAATAACATCTCTGAATTTAGATTCTGAGCAAAGATGTAATAATAGCATAGTTGCTGACACAGAATGAGTGTGGTATAAGTTCTTAAATAATTTTAAAATTGGACATTTACCAATTATGCTCCAATATTCAAATTCTAAATACATGGTTGGATTCAGCATATCAAAAAACCACAATGTTTGATTTTTTGTTAAAATCTAACTAAGTTTTATTTTGGAAACTTTGGACCTTTATGGGGTCCAGTTTGAAAAACGGGCCCAAAATCTAAAATCTAAAACACTGTTAGATTGCACACATTAAAGAACTCCAATGATTTAATTCTTGAAGAAATCAAACAAAGTTTAATTTTGGACACAAATTTGGACCAACTTTAAAAACCAAGCACAAAATCAAAAAATCTCAAACCCTGTTGGATTGACCATATCAAATAACACAAACAATTTAATTTTTGATGAAATCAAACAATGTTCAATTCTGGACCCCAATTTGGATCATCTTGAATACTGTGCCCAAAACCAAATATCTAAATACCACTTAGATTCGGCATATCAAAGAACCCCAACCATTTTTTTTTTAAAGCAAACAAAGTTTAATTTTGGACTCTTTAGACCTTAGTGTAGGCCAACCATGCCCAAATCAAAAATCTATAAACACGCTTAGATTCAGCATATCAAAGAACCCCAAGAATTATATTTTTTTTTAAATAAAAAAAAAGTTGTACTTTGGACACTTTGGACCTTAATGTGGACAAATTTGAAGACAGGCCTCAAAATTAAAATACACTGTTAGATTCAGCATAACAAGGAACACCATTAATTTAATTTTTAAAGAAATCAAACAAAGTTTAATTTTGAACCCTTTGGACCTTAATATAAATCATTTAAAAAAAAGACCCAAAAATTCAAATAATAAAGACTTCCCAGAATTCAAGACTTTTGAATCAAACCTCATTGAATTTGCTAAAAAAATAATCAATTTATACAAAGTATTGGTTTTGGCTCATTTTAACTAAACCAATAGGGCCATAACCCCTTAAATCAATCCCAAACTTTATTTTATGGTATATCACCTTGTGGCACAGTCAAATAGCAATAAATAGACTTATGCTCAAGTTATTGTCCAAAAATCAGAAAATCCTAGTTTCTTGGCCCTATTTCAGCCCCTTATTATTAAACAATTTGGACCATGACACTTAAAATCAATACCAACATTTCTTTTGTAGTATGGAATCTTGTAGTAAAATTTTATAGAAATCCATACTCTTATACACAAATTAGTGTCCTGAAACATGAAAAATGCTTGTTTTTGACCCCTCTTTGGTCCTAATTACTAAACAGTTATAACAATAACCCCAAAAATAAATCCCAACCTGGAACCTGTAAACCAGACTAATAATTGTTTTTGTTAGGCCCTTTTTGGCCCCTAATTCCTTAACAACTACTTTAATAACCTCCAAAATAAACCCCAACCTTCCTTTTGCGGTATGGAACCTTGTTCTAAAATTGAATAGAAATACATACACTTATACTCAAGTTATTGCCTGCAAACCAGAAAAATAGTTGTTTTCGGCCCCTTTTGACCCCTAATTATTAAACGGTATTGGCCATGACCCTCCAAAAATCATTCTCAACTTTCCATTTGAAGTATGAAAGCTTGTGGTAAAATTTCATAGAAATCTATACTCTTATACACCAATTATTGTCCTAAAACATGAAAAATGCTTTTTTTTTTGGCCCCTTTTTGGCCCCCTAATTCCTAAACAGATACGACAATTATCCAAAAATAAATCCCAACCTTCCTATTGTGGTATGGAACCTTGTGCTGAAATTTAATAGAGATCCATACACTTATACTCAAGTTATTGTCTGTGAACCTGCCAAAAAATTGTTTTTGTAAGACTTTTTGGCCCCTTATTCCTAAACAGCTATGACAATAACCCCCAAAATTAATCCCAACCTTCCGATTGTGGAATGGTACCTTGTGTTAAAATTTTGACCTAAGAAATATCTCTTATACTCAAGTTATTGTCTTAAAACCAGACAAATAATTGTGTTTGGCCCCTTTCTGGCCCCTAATTTCAAAACAGCTAAAACAATAACCCCCAAAATGAATCCCAACCCTCATATTGTGGTATGGAACCTTGTACTAAAATTTCTTACACATCCATACACTTACACTAAAGTTATTGTCTGAGAACCAATTTATTTTCCATGAACCAGTAAAACTGACCTTTTTGGCCCCTAATTACAAAACCGCACAGACAATAGCCTCCCAAAACAATCCCAACCATCCTTTACTGGTATGGAAGCTTGTGCTAAAGTTTCATAGACATCCATGAACTTATACAACTTATACTCAAGTTATTGTCTGCGAACCAAAATGTCTTCAGACGCAGACAACACCATAACAAAATACTACCTGTGGTCGTATAAAAATCATTTATTTTGACGGTCATGGATGAAATTATGTAATGCTGATTTAATAGTACACTGTAATATCATTCAAGTACTTGAACTGAACACATCGTAAAATACATGTGGTATTTTAAAATTTGAGCATCTTGAATTGAACTACACAAAAGCAAACTATGGAGTCTTAAAGGTTAAATAAATAATCAACACTAATCAAAACCAGAAAAAAGACAAACTATAAAAAGACTGTCTTGCTCTATTCAGCTCAATGTTACTTTTTTTTTAAATTTATTTTCACGTCTATTTTGCATCTCTATAATATATTAATTGTTGACAGTCATAAAGAATAGTTGTTTAGGGTAATTAAAATGCCTCACTAATACAAACCGTTGCATTTGGAACAGCAGTAAAAGCCTATCTAATTGCTTTTCTATAGTAATTCCATGCAAGTATGTTATGAAACAATGGAAAAATTTACATGCAACGTAGTAATCCCTGGACTTTTTTTTAGCATTTGATAAACAATTAATTGGACACGCATTTATAAATAGATTACTGGTCCTGGCCTTGATTTCCTGCTTCTAATTTAATCTAGTTATCTACAAGCTGTATACCTGTATATCTTTTCGATATGCATCCTTAACCTAGTCCTTAAATTCATTGGAGGAATCTGGTTAGGTCTAGCATTTATGTTCTATTTATGTTAAAATCATAGATATATATATATATATTTCTCTAATTCTGTTCTAATTCAATTTAACCCTTTCCGGACCCATTGAAATTTTTTTCAACGTGTGGTTGCCGATGATCTCAGAAGATGATTGGATGAGTTTACGGGTCATGACCTTTATCAGCTCACTGAATAAATAAAAATGTGCTTACAGGTGTTAATGAAATTGACAACCTTGTGGAATGTGGAAGACACTCGAAGGGATTAAGATTTCCACTAAAATTATTTGTAAGAATTTCCTAAGTTTTGATTTGAAATACACTCTTTAACTTAAGTATCAGTATAGATGGATATGTCCTAAAGTCACTACCTGAAACATGTATTATATGAAATGTATATGTAAAGTAGTAGCAGATAAGAGTGCTTGCGTTGTTTCCTTTAAATAAGATGTATGTTGCAAAGATCAGCAGATACGACATCTTTTCTTTTCATCTAAGCTTTCTTTCTTGGGAAAAAACTCATAGTGATCTGTTTGGATCATATTGATCTGACGGGAAATTCCCACTTTCTACAACAATCATGCTATTAGGACGGGCAGTAGGCATGGCACTATTTGTAGCAATATTTCCATTATGATACTGCATAGGCAGTGAGGTTTCTCCGTTCGATAAAAATCTTCCTGAGTCATCGTTTACTGGATGTACTGTAAGCAGTTGAGGTAGAGATGATTGTTGAGCTGAAAATAAAAATAGTGTCAGCCCTTAATAATCAGATATTGTTCGTTTAGCAGTAACCAATTATATAACCAACCGAATATTGTTACACACAGGAATGTTTTGTTTTCCAAACTTATTTTGTTTAAATATTTAAAAAAAAACCTCGACTATTCTAAAATTCTAACGAATATGCTAAATTAACATTTGATGTCATACATGTATACTGTTAAAGCAGAGGAAAGGAAAATACATTCGTGTGTATCTGATTAAAATTTGTTGATGAATCAATAATGTTGACGAGGAATCAACAAATAGTGGATTGGACAATGCCTCTAATTTCACGCAACCATTGATTTCAAACAGATGTGGATTCCTAATATAATAAATATCGCCTAGATAATTACAATTTTGTTATTATATGAATACCTGAATTTTTCATTACAAAGTAATCCTTAGTCTCAATAAATTGTTAGATCGACCAAATTTTCTAGTTAAACCGTGTCTATTGTATACTAATTTGATTCGTTTATACGAATTTCCAAGTTACGTCTCCGAAAAGAAAACACATTCTTAAATCAAATTGATGGAAGACGATATCATAAAAATGCTGACCATTTCAATAAACAACATATATGTAATGGAATGTTTTTTTTACCAATTAGTCGGCATTTCAATGGTTACCAATTTCGCACCTATACTTCTTATTAGTTCAATTCAAGAAGATTTAAACTAACTCTTCTCACAGACAAAAGATAAAAGATACCTTCAGATATATTGAAATTGTCTTGTAGCTAAAAAAACCGATGTAAAGAGTTCCTATTTATATATTCTAATATACTTGTTATAAAAGGTAATACCGGAACTGCAATGTATGCTTCAAATCCTAACCTGCAATTGACACAGACCGAATTCAAACTAGTGTCTATGGCAAATTTGAGGATTTTAATTTTCCAAGTTATAATTTCCCATTTCTCAGTTGGCAAAAAGAAAGCAAAAGCTACCAAAGGGACATCAAGTTCATAAGTCGAAAACAAACTGACAACGCCATGGCAAAAAAAAACGAAAATGAACCTGACAAACAACAGTATACAAAACACAAAACAGAAAACTAAAGACTGAGCAAAAAGAACCCCACCAAAATAAACCCGTTTGTAAACTCAGTTGCCCACGAAGGGTAAAAGATCTTGCTCCACATGCGACATCTGTCGTATTACTCCTATATAATATGTTGATAAGTTATATCAAGGAGTTTTGAGCATTGGTAGATTAAACCGGCATCTTCTGTCTGCATTGCCAAATTCGACGGTTTGCAATGAACTGTCATTTTTGCAGAACAGAGAATAGAAAAGAATAAGCGAAAGAATCAACACAGAAGTTACACAATGTATACCGTTATATACCTTAGTTGTCCCTGAATGTTCAACATATATTTTGCTAATACAGGAAATCGTCATCGCTTTTATTCCAACAAATTAGTTATTCTATTTAAATCCTTTTAGATATCAAATGCCCTGTGTTAAGTATCATATGTGGCCTTGTCATGAAAGTCCTATTTCAATATTATTCGACATTGTGTTAATATACATGTATATCCTTGTAGCCATCATCTGATGACTATCGCTAGTTATGCTGCATGGGTTTTTTGTTGGTTATTTAAAAAAAAAAAAACACACACAAAAGTAAGCATAATCCAAACAAAAAACTTACCATGAACCTGAGCTTCTACCCTTGCTGTTGGTCTATTAGTGTTTGATCTGATATCAGTTTGGTCGTCTACAAATATAAATGATTTGTATTAATCGATAGTTTCATTACGACATTTCCCTACTACACTTGATTGCAGGCCATTAAGTGCATATGCAAAATGTTAAACTGGAAACGTCAATCCTTCTTAATGATTATTTTGCCAGTAATGTGCAAATGCTTTCTAATCGGTTCCAGTTTTGTATGTTGTGACATTCTTTGATTTTACGTTGGTTTTATTTCAATTAACTTAAAGAGAAAAACTTTTGAAACCTGTATGTTTTTGTTTCTGAGCGGCAATATTGAACCAACAGCCGAGGTTGAATTAACCAACTTCCTGTAGATGCTAGCACATTTGAGCTTGTTTTCACAAATACTCAGGTGTCGTATGTACTTTCTTTTTTAAATTAAGTTGTCATACTAATGATATTAAGACTGTGCATGTTTTTTCTGTTTTGTTTTTTATTTATTTTGTTAGCAATGATCGACAAAGGCATAGAAGATTTGTGCGCAAGTAGAACTATTTGTTTCAACCACATTGTGTGTTTGTACAAAGTCATATATTGTTAACTGTTGTGTGTGTTTTGTACATGCACATTTGTGTTCTTGGAAGACAGTTGGTATGGAATATTGTATTATCCAATATATATTTGGGTGATATTTTGTTAATGAATTATTTATGTGTGTATCACTTATCTTATAGTTTGCTGTCCATACAATTTCTATAAAATCCATTAAAATGTTACTCCTGAAATACACATCGCTCTGTTCAACTGAATTAGTTCATAATGAACACAGTTGTAAATATGAAACTGACAAGATAACTTGGCATACTACAAACAAATTGTTGTTCTTGCCTAGTATCAAGTAAAATGTGTTTCATGCATAAAACATGAGATTCATTATACATTGGTAGTCTAGTTAATTGACATGAAACGCAAAAACAAAACAGTGCATATATAAATTCAATAAAAAGCTCCGCTAGGGCGCAGCTTGATACGACCGCAGAGGTCGAACCCTGAACAGTTGGGACAAATTTGGACAATCATTCAAGCTTGATACAGCTCTGAATTTGGATTGTGATAAAATATTTGACACATCATTGGTTTCTGACACATAATGAATGTGGTAAAAGAACTGAATTTTTTTTAAATTTGATTATTAAGGTCCAATATCCAAAATCTAAGTACACAATTAGATTCAGCATATCCAAGTACATCAAGACTTTCATTAATTTATTTATTGATGGACAAAATTAGCTAAGTTTTTAAAGGGGTTCACTTCATAAAAAAAATTATATATAGCATTCTGCAAATCAATGTATACAGAAAAACAAACAAACCTACCACGAAGTTCTTAACACAATTTACCAAATAAATATGGAATGTGTTCATGGGACACAGATGATGCCCCCGTTTACATATAAAATGATCAAGGTACATAATTTAAGAACGGTTAAAGTGGCGCTACCCAAATTCGTACTTGATCTGAGTTTTGTAGTAATAAGCATTATGTATAAGTGTCATAACATTTGGTCGAGGCAAACTTAAGTAAGAGAACGGGAACGAAAAATTCAATAATTTTTTTCATTTGTAAAAGGGCATAACTTTAGAACGGTATAAGGGACGCCACAAAAATTCATACTTGATCTGTGTTTTGTAGTAATAAGCATTGTGTATAAGATTCATAACATTTGGTTGAGGCAAACTTAAATTAGAGAACGGAAACGAAAAATTCAGCAATTTTATCCTTTTGTAAAGGGGCATAACTCTAGAAAGGTAAAAGTGACGCCACCCAAATTCAAATTTGATCTGTGTTTTGTGGTATTAAGCATTGTGTATAAGATTTATAACATTTAGTTCAGTCAAACTAAAGTAAGAGAACGGAAACCAATTTTTGGACGTACGGACGTAAGGACGGACGTACAGACGGACAAGGGTAAAACTTAATGTCCCTTCGCGACGGTGGCGGGGGCATACAAAATGAAAAAAAAAAACAATTTCTAAAATATTATTCATCATCAATACAATGTCTTCAAAAAATCTATAATACTTACCTTCATTTTTTAAAATATCTAATCATGCTAATAATGAACAGTTAATTTCAAACTATATTATAACATAATTTATAAAATTAGAATGTGATGTTTGTATCAATTTTTAAATATGATTCTTCTTTTAATTTCTAATAATTGTGCAATACATCTTTTAATTTGCATTGTGATTAAACATTTGACGATTTGGATTGTGATTAAATATTTGACATAGCACAGGTTTCTGACACAGAAAGAATGAAGTCTAAGAACATAAAAATCAGTATATCAAAGACCCACAAGAATTCATTTTTTTCCTAAAATCAAATACATATTCACAGGCGGATTGGGCATATTGAAGAACGCCAATATAAATTAAATTTTTGATGAAATCAAACAAAGATTAATTTTGGACCCCAATTTGGACCAACTTGAATACTGTGCCCAAAATCAAAAATCTAAATACACGCTTAGATTCAGCATATCAAATAACCCCAACAATTCATTTTTTTCAACTTCAAACAAAATGTAATTTTGGACAATTTGAAGACAGGCCCCAAAATTAAAAATGTAAATATACAATTAGATTCGGCATATCAAAGAACACCAGTAATTCAATTTTTGCTGAAATCAAACAAAGTTTAAATTTGGACCCCAATTTAGACCAATTTGAAGACTGTGCCCCAAATCAAAAATCTAAGTACAGCTTAGATTCAACATATCAAAGAACTCCAATAAATCCTTTTTTTTTTAATCAAACAAAGTTTAATTTTGGACCCTTTGGACCTTAATATGGATCAATTCAAAAACAGGGCCCAAAATCCAAATTCTAAATACCCAATTTGATTCAGCATATTAAAGGACCCCAAGAATTCAAGACTTTGGATTAAACCCCATTGAAGTTGGTTAAAATATAAGCAATTAATACAAAGAATTACAAAAGAATTGTTTTTGGCCCTTTTAACTAAACCGTTACGGTCATAAACTCTAAAATCAATCCCAAACTTTACTTTATGCTATAACACCTTGTGGCACAATTAGATAGCAATCCATAGACTTAATTTCAAGTTATTGTCCAGAAACCGGAAAATCCTAGTTTTTGCTCCTTTTCGGTCTTTAATTATTAAACGTTTTGGGCCATGACCCCAAAATCCAATCCAAACGTTCCTTTTTAAGTATGGAACCTTGTGGTAAAATTCATAGAGATCCATATTCTTATACTCAAAGTATTGTCCGGAAATATGA